AAAAAAAAAAAAAAAAAGAAAAATTGTGCTTTGGAAATAAGGTTTTTTTGCCAAAGCTCTTGAATTTCTATATTTGAGCTGTAATGGGGAATGTGGTAGTTAAGTCGTTTTATTTAATGTGGAACGTAGATGAGCTAGCCATTTCCACATGCCAGTGCAAGCTTACAATCATTATTATTTGACATCAAGTCCCCAAATGCTTTAGAGACTTTATGTCAGGACGATTTGTCACTGAAACTGTCCCTTCTCTTTTGGGGCATAGTTCTGCTGGGGAAGAGAGACTAGCTGTTCGGCGTCCATGTACAACTGCTCAGGAGTGAAGAGTGGACGCACTGAAAATTTAGCAGCTGCTTTTTCAATAAACTTCTAAGGGACTTGAGACTACTTGAAGATCTCTACCAAGTCCATTTTCCTTTTTCCCTTTTAAGACTTCAGAGTGAGGGAGGCAGTGTGGAGGAACAAACGGGACCACTGTGAATTCACGGTCCCAGGAATCAGAAATACCGAGCTTGCTTCTCAGCCCTCCCCCTGGGTGTGTGATTTCATGGTGGCTCTTGTAACCTGTTGCTTATTTATTTTCAACACTAAAATGAAAACATCTACAGTGTACAGGTTCCAGTTTAAAGAAATGTGGAAAGCCGATGAACTGAAGGTGTCACCACTTGAAAAGGCTGGGCTTGAAGCTGTTGGACCTTTTCAGGTTCCAGGTATCACCTGGACACCTGGGGTTCTGGTCCCCTGTAGATCTGGGGATAACAAGTTTTCCATAGAAGTTACAGGTTGTTTTTGATCTCGTATTGTCTGTCGGCCAGACTTCAGTCCATGACTCAAGGCCCTGATGTCCTGTGTGCGGAAGGGGTTAGAGAACAGTGCTCAGGTTGGGCTGGTGAAATCACAGAGGATTTTGTAAACCCCGGTGGAGCCAACAGTCATTGCTACAGCCTGTTGCTCCACCGGGATTCGCCACTCCCCCCTTCCCCTCGGGCGGAGGAAGTTTCAGCTGCAGACTTCTCCGGGGAGGTGAGCATTGCCCTGGGCTCTTCCTGGAGGCTGGGGGCGAAGATCCCTGAGATTGCAGCAGACTTCCTGCTTTTTCAGGAGAAGGTGGAAACCCAGAGTATGATATGAAATCAGCTTATTTTTTCAGTTATACCTACTAAAGCCATTTTGTGGAATGACCGTTTGTGGTTTAGACTAGAACTTGTCCCTGGTTTCTGGGCACCACGTTTGTGGGGGACTTTGACACACTCTGGAACAACCAGGAGAGAGAATGTTTTGCAAGCCCCACCATCTGAGGAGCCCCCGCAGGAACCCAGGGTGGGGGGATTGAGGGCACTGGATCTGGGGAGGGCCGTCGGGGAGGACAAGGGTTGGCAGAACTGGACCCAGTCTGTGTGAGCAGGTGGACAGGCCGTCTCTCAGAACGTGCCCCTCGACGTGACCTGAGCAGCCAAGGTCTCCTGAGTAAAGGAATTGGGGGATTCTCAGCGTTCTGGTCTCTTGTGGATGCCCCCCATGCATACCGGTAGGCACTCCCTGACCTTAGGGCTGTGGCATCTGCCCGTGTCCTTGGGCCTGACCTCCTGGCAGCTTCCTCTTGTTCACTGTACCTCTGTGACCAAGCTTTGGAAGTGGGGCTTAATGTTTAACCGCCCTGTAAAGCATGCATTCTCCACGTCCAAGTGCTCGTGCAGCCCTGTGTCCACCCTGAC